ACATCCCTCGTTTAACGGCCTATTATGAAAGCTGAATGCCACATCAGAAAAAATAAACGGAGTTGGACGGAGAGTGACCAAACTTGAACGCTTAAACTAATTTTAGTGACCACGAATGGATTTAAATATTTCGAGTGACCAAACATGAACGGTTTTTGTAATTTCAGTGACCAACCATGCAATTAAACCAATTTTTTTTGTTCTAAAAATATATTAAAGTGAATATCATTTTAAAGAGCACAACTAATCTGATTTATCTGTGAAAAAAATTAAATTCCGACTGAAAATGAGAAAGAAAGCGTCCGTTAAAAGAAAAAAATAAAAGAATTTCCATGAAAGAGAGGGATGCTCATGGTTACTCATGATTACGGACCTGATCTGCTCTCGGGTTTGACTGCCTTGCCCAACGACAGTCCAGAGCGCCGGGAAATAGGAAAGTATGGTCAGGAGAACATGATGGTGGAAGACAACATTCGAAACAACTAAACGTGTTTGAGTACAAATAAGATGCCGATACTCTAAAGATATTTATTTCCCCTGTCGATTATATGGAGTCACAAGCGGTAATGATGGGTGGGTACCCGTTCCTACATCAACAGCCACCCAGCAATGCCGTGATCGCTTTGCTCCTCCACACCAATCAGTTCACCGTCCTCTTTGCCTAACGCAATGCAACATAACTTCAACGGTTAGAATAATTCCATTGGTTTGTTTTTTTTTATATGACAAAGAGGAGATTTGATTTATTGAGAAAATTTCAGGCACAAATGAGAACACGATTGGCAGAAGTTGTTTTCAATAAAAGATGGTTGGCTGGCTGGAGCAATTAATTTTGCTTTTTGTCTGGTTTGGAGATTGTTGGGGAAATTAATTTGAAAACATGAGAGCATGAATGTGGTTGCCTCCTCTCTGTGAGGGTTTAATTAATCAAATCTCAAGAGGCTTTGTAACTTGTATTGGGAAGGTAGTTGGTCAGTCACACCAACACCACTACGGCTGGAAGTTTGGTACCGGTATTTGGGATATACCGAATACCGTACCGAATTTGTCTATATTTGGTATTACCGAATACACGTATTATTTTATGGGATTGGGATTGAATTTCAATTGTTATTCGGTATTAGGGATTACGGGATTGGGATCGGTATATACCGAAATACCGATCAATACCGAAATATAAGCTAGTGTGTATTTTATCCTCTCAGCTAGACTCTCTCATTCACTACTACGTGACCCTCAACCACCAAAAGTGTCATTTAATTATAAATAGATCATTACATCACTATTTCACACTAATATTAGTCGTCTCTCGACGTCAAATTCGTCAAATTAAATATTACCAATTACAAGAACTTGAGATGTTAGCTCTATGCAACTCAAGACTATTTGCTTAGTCTCTATGCCCTAAATTAAACAATAAAATCTAATTTATATTTTTAATTATTAATTGCAAAGGTAATTAATTATGTATTCGATAATACCGATTGGGATACCGAGGTACCGATTGGGATACCGAAATTATTTAGGGATTGGGATTGGGATTGCTTTTAGGGTGTAATTCGGTATTCGGTATTTCGGTATTTGGTATTGGGATACCGATACCGTACCGATTTCCAACCCTAAACACCACCTTATCCTATTCAACTACTACAATGCTTTCTTAAACAGGTGTTTTAATCCACATGTAGGAACCATAAGTTACTTATCAATAATCATATATAATTCTATACATACTATTTATGCAAATCAACTAATTTTTGCGGATTAATTTTAACGAGTTATATCTCTTTGTTTTAAGTCGTAATTTTTTTTAAAGATAAATAAGATTAATTGTACTATTCAAAATGACATCCACTTTGATATGGGAAGAGTTTGGGTTGTGGTGGACTGGTGGCGAGAGTAAGCATTCTGGGTTGAGGAAGTGATAACAACCAAATTGGTGTTATTTACCCTTCATATCTAGGTTTGTTTCGTGCTAATTAATTCATGTGCATAATCAGAAGAATATCATCGATTGCATTCTTATTTCGTTCCTATTTGATTACATCGTGGTTTTAGGGTGCTTTAGACGATATATCTGAATTAGGTACGGAAAAGGGCACAAGTGTATCAAAATGGACAGGAAGCTGATGATCACAACCTGAAGGGGAAGATCTCGGCCGAGAAAACATACAGCGAAACAGAGGTGAAGATCGCGGCCCGAGAACCCAAGTTCGCGGCCACGAAACTGGAGGTATTGGGCGCGAACTTCGTGGAGAAGCCAACCGAGAAAGAACAAAAAGTTTCGTCAGTCTGGTCACGGTCACCACCTCACTTGACCGCGAGGAAGTTCGAGACCATTAGTCAGCTCGTGAACTCCCAGCAAACGAAGACCAAAACGGCGACCCCTGAAGATCGCGGTCTCGGGGGGAAAAATCATGAGAGCGATCTCCCCCTGCTCAGCCGCGAACGTGTTCGTCCTCCTGAAGTCTATAAATAGACCATTTTAAGAGAGCTGAGTTTGAGATATCAATTTCTTGTTTAGAGAGAGAGAGAGAGGAGAGAGAGAGAGAGAGAGAGAGAAGAGAGAAGAGAGAGAGAGAAGTTGAAGGTAGGAGAAGAGCAAAAGGAGGTGAAGTCAGAAGAGAGAAGCCATCTTCCTTAACATCAAGTCTTCCTCAAATTCTTCAATGTATCTTGTTCCCTCCTTTATGGAGTAGTCTCTTAAGGTACTAGGGGTTCTAAACCCCAAATCCTAGTTTTAGGGCTATTATGTAATGAATGAATATGTTAGGATTTTGAATGAATGTGTTTGTCTAGTTGATATTAATGATTCATCTACTTTAATTGTTTTTTGGGTAAGTCGCCCTAATCTTCTCTACTAGCCTACAGAAGCTTCTACATTGGGTATGTAGAGTTAGACGGGTATACGCCATCTCGCAAATTAGGGTTAGATGATTGAATATGGTCTTGTGGTGGACGAGGCGACCGTACCTCTGTCACAAGAACGCTTTCGTAGATGGAACCCGGGATGAAACCTCGGTGTGGATGGTGGCTAGTAACCATTGAAATGAGATAAGTTCTTAAAGCCCCAGATACGTGAGCCTATACCGAGGTGACAATGGGGTGGATAATCACAAAGGCCCACAGAGAAGAGCTCACTCACCATATTAGCTTAACCCAACTTGTCTAGTCATTTGCATGATAAACCTAGGCTAGGGCGAGGGTTAGTTCCTCGATGTACCTTCTTTTATCCTTGTTTACTCTCTCTACTAGTTATTTCACTTGAATCCTCCAACACAACCCCCTTAAACCGATCGAATAGATAACAACAATGTGGGAAGTAGACTAGGGTACTGGGACCCGAGTGAATACGACCTTGATTGCCACTATATGACAACGCCATTTGAGGTCAAACTTGGCCTAGGATGGGGTAGTTATTAATACATGCAAACTATTGAAAATGACTTACACGGAATGAATCGATCACGCACTAAGTCTATCGTATGTATTTTTATGGTACTTGATCTATGGCTATCTCAAGCAATAATAGTGTGTTCATCATTGATTGCGCCATATTTACATATATTTTTTTGTCTGAATTCAAAAAAAATCATTGAAATGTTCTTAATTAATTATTAGTACCTATATAAAAATAACGAACAAATTTTTTAATTAGAATGATGAAACTAACACTAAACTGGATTATTAGTTGACGTGAAATTCCGGAGCTTTGAACTTTCGGAACTCACCATTGAAGGCAAAATACTTTTGGAGGGGTAATAATTTGAATTCTAGCCCTAAAATTTGGACCTTTTGAACTCACCACTAAAGATGGTCTAAGGTTGTCCACAACCCATGGTGTAAAAGAGCATTCACCCTTTTAGCCCCAACAATTCCACTACAACCAAGGGGCATATGTGGAGTAAAAGGCTAAACGTAAAATTGGAGACTAAAATAAGTCTAGTTGTAAAAATAGGGGAAGGGCTAAAAACAAGGACCACTTCCAAAAGAGGGGAAGTCAGCGGCCAGAATGACCGCCATTTGCGGTGCAATTTTCGAACGTTTCTACTATCATATATTCAACCATTCAACTCTGATATGTTCATACCACCATGCTACACTTTCATACCATGTGGTATGATATGATCTTATGTAATACCAAACATTATCAGCATGGTATAGACTGGTACTAAATGTCTCAATTTTTTCTTTTCAAAATAAATCAAAGTGGATATCATTTTGAAGAGTACACTTAATCTTATTTATCTATGCAAAAAAAAGTATGACTTAAAACGAAAGAGAATTAGCTCATAAAATTTATAGGAAAAATGTTAGAGACCTTCAATAAATGGTGATGTGACAGGTTATGCATGGTTATTCACAACAAGGTTGTGCAGGAATCCGCTCTCCTTCAACAAGGTTGTGTTTTCTGGGTTTTATAGGGCCGATTCTAGGTTTCAGAATTGTATTTTTTTAGGGTTTTAAAGATGTGAGGGAAGTTCGGAGTTACGATTGGGATGGATGGAACGGAAATTGATTCTCTTTTTGAAATTGTATTTTCTGGGGATGATCAGGGGGAAAGGGTCGTCGACGATGCGAGGTTGAAGAAGGCAGGAGAAAAGCAACAACAAATAGGGTTGGGTCTGGAGGTGTAGGGAAGATAGATGAGGCAGGTCGCGTGTTTTAATTTGTAAGGGTTCAAATTGAGTTGGGTCATGGGTTGGGATTTTTTTTATGATATGGCGGGTTTTTCGACGTGGGTCAGATTTTTTTTCTTCTTTGGATTAAAATTAGGTGACTCATCACTTCTGTTAGTCATGTCAGCAAAACACTTGACGGAGATTAACGGAGAGTGACATAATACGAAACGTTTAACCACTTCCAATAACCACGAATGAAATAAAATACTTTTAATGACCAAACACGAACTTTTTATCACTTCCAATGACCAACCTTGTAATTTACCTAATTAAAAAACAACAAAAAGTATTGCATCCTCTGGAGTCCTGACCGTCCACGTCATCCGCTACTCCGTAAGTAAAGAAGCACCCGAACCCAGCCCCGCACTCTCCGTTGAAAAATCCGTTCCTTCCTCCATTACTTTAGCGAAGTATCCACTCTATCTATCCAGCTATCTCCTCTCCCGACCTCCATCACCTGCCTTCACATCCATCCGCTCAGCCGGAAATCCACCTCTCTCCGCCGGAATCTCTTCCTCTTGACCTTCCGGCCGCCGGAGCCTCTCAATTCTCTACTGAACCTTCCTCCTTTTCTCTGTTTCCTCACAATCAATTTCAGAAATGGCTTCCTCAATCTACTACTTATCTCCCACACTTCCCATCCCACCACCAAAATTTTCGCTCTCGCTCCCGCTCCCGCCTTCGCAGGTGAGACCACCGAACTCCGTTTTCGTGCCAACGTCCGCTTCATTTCTCTGCTCTTCGGGTTCGAAACTCCGCAAGAAGAACGGCTACAGGAACGACGGGGCGCTGTTCACCCTATCTTGCTCCACCTCTGCCTCGCCCTTCTTCGGCAGAGTTGGCTCCCAGCAAAGGGAAGGGAACTCTTCTCTCTTGTACTTCGGGGCCAATTACCCGAATGCGGAGGCGGCCAAAACCGATTCCTCTCAGGTTTTGTCGGCAATGCTCCCGTTTGTCGTTGCCGCCACTGCCGTCGCGGCTCTCGCTCAGCCGTCCACTTTCACTTGGTGAGCCGTACGAAGTGCTCTCGTCTTTTTGATTCCTGTCTTTCTTGTTGTTTTCCTGATGGAGCGCTCTCACGGGGCTGGACGGACTCTCGGTTCGTGCTTGCCCTGCCCACCACGTATTTGATAAATTGTTTCTTGAGGGGTTACTTTGCGATGAGAAGGTTTTTTGGTTAACAAGGAACGATATGGCTTCTGAGTTTTCAATATTTTATAGCATCTCTATCTTTGGAAGATTGCTTTGTGAATGATTTTGGGGTAATTATTTATTCCTTTGCGCTCTGGCCGTGTAGGGAATAGTTTAATTATATTAATAGTTTCCTTTGTTCTTCTGATCACCATGGTTTGTCCTGCTAAGTTCGAGAAACGTTGTTGTGGTCGCAACTTTCCAATTCTGTACTGGTTGTTTATGTTTCTTGGATCTTCTTTGTGAATGAGAAACTGGTTTTACTCTAACTATCTGTTTTTGGGCTCACACTTCCCCCCTTTAGCTGTAAGAGGAGTCCAAAATTAGTCCTTCCTAGGGGCTTTTCTACCAGAATGCTTGTTAGATTGGAGAAGGGGTAATGTGGTATTGGATTCGAAGTAGTTGGAATAAAGGAGTGTATTCTTTTAGTTTATTACAGCGTTACGAGTTTTTGATTTGGAGCTCATAAGACTATGTAATGGGAGGTGGGTTTTTCCCTCACCTTCAAGAGTTCTTATTTTCTCTTTTTCTTTCGAATTGTCATTGTTTTGAAACATGTGGTCGTGCAGGGTATCAAAGGAGATGTATGCTCCAGCTCTTGGTGGAATCATGCTGTCAATAGGAATTAGACTCTCCATTGATGATTTTGCTCTTGCCATGAAAAGGTACATCTTGTTCCGAAAGTGCTTATGTAGCATTCCTTACCCTGCTTTGAAGTTGTCCTTTTATATATTGAGATCACACAGTTCAATGTATATACTCCCAAGTTTCTCTTTTTTTACATCTTCCATCTGTTGCAGACCTTTACCACTGTCTGTTGGGTTTATCGCGCAGTATGTGCTCAAACCGGTCCTTGGGGTATTCATTGCAAAGGCATTAGGCATGTCCCAGATGTTCTATGCTGGATTTGTTCTCACCTCATGTGTTGCGGGGGCACAGTTATCTAGCTATGCTAGTTTTTTGAGCAAAGGCGATGTGGCACTGAGCATTCTCCTAACTAGCTCAAGCACCATTGCATCAGTACTTGTCACACCTCTTTTAACTGGCCTTCTGATTGGCTCTGTTGTTCCAGTTGATGCTGTTGCAATGTCAAAGTCAATCTTGCAGGTTAGAAGAGGAGCCCCAGCTTTAGGCAATTGGAAAAGTAAGATACTTTTTGTTTTGAGTTAGCAAGTGTCTGAATTTTTTCGCTTCTTTTGGTGGCAGGTTGTTCTTGTTCCGGTCTCTCTTGGTCTTGTGCTCAATACATATGCAAAGCCAGTTGTAAATCTGATCCAACCTGTGATGCCATTTGTGGCTATGGTGTGTACTTCGTTATGTATTGGTAGCCCTCTAGCAATCAATAGAACCCAAATTCTGTCTCCAGAGGGTCTCGGGCTTGTTCTTCCAGTACTGACATTTCATGCAGTGGCATTCACAGTGGGCTATTGGGTCTCCAGGATTCCAGCTTTCGGGTAAATCCTTATGCTCTTCTAATTCATGCTAAACTCATGATTATGATTATCACCATGATTGACCACTTGAGATAGTCACAGTAGTGGGTTCGCCTTTGTGCTTGCTAAACTTGCCATATGATGCAGAAAGTGCACTTATTGAGTTTGAAATTCATTTTGCTAAGTTTTTAGCCTGTCAAAACTGCTAGGGTCGAGTCGCCTTCCATGGCAAACTTGCCACAACATATGTCTGTGTGTTTATATCTGAGGCCACACCGTTGGTGCCGTGGTGCAGGCAAAGTGAAGAAGTAAGCAGGACAATATCACTGTGCACAGGGATGCAAAGCTCAACACTAGCAGGTCTTCTGGCAAGCCAGTTCCTTGGAAGCAGCCAAGCTGTTCCACCGGCATGCTCGGTAGTTGCCATGGCAATCATGGGTCTGTGTCTCGCATCTTTCTGGGGAAGTGGTTGCCGGATAAGAAACCTACTGTCCTCCTTCATTCCGCAATTCAGCTCCATCGTAGAGGCTTAGCCCCATTAAGGTAGGGGCTTTAGCATCAATAGGAATACCCTCTGCAGCAGTGAATGGGGTTTATTATTAGTTTGTATTAACGCCTCAACTTGGAGAAGGAATAGTAAGTATAGGAAAATTAGCATATAGGAGATCAGCGGAGCATGGTGGAAACGGGAAACAAGCAGAGCGGTGTTGTATAGTTAGAAAAACAAAAGGCTGTTTTCCCCCTTTGCCCATTGTATATACGTGCACTTACCAGAGTGTATAGTATAATTGTCTCTTCGTTAGTTCTAACTTCTAAGTACCAGGTGGCAGTTTATATGTTTGGAGCTAATGTTCAATTTCCTTTTTTACCAAGACAGCATGACTAGTGGTTAGTGACACTGAATTTTATGCTTAGTGGTTTGGTTGTGATTTGTGAATGTTATATTTAGTGACTGACTGCTAACTGTAACGGACAAGTGGTTGCAATAAGGCGTGGTGGAGGACGAATAGTGAGAGAAATCCTCCTAATGAAGAGCATATCGTAAGAATCATTCTGGGCACAAGTATAAAGAGGTAGATCTAGATTTTTCCAAAGGGAAGCCATCCTATAGAGTATAGAGAGAATGGGCGAGATGTTGACGAAGAACTTGAGCTCAAAGGGTTTTGGGAAGAAATTTCATCCATTTATAACATCAAATCCATCCATGATTAAAGAGAATTGGGCAATCTAACAATGAGATATGGATCTAGCCATCAGTTTACGTTCTTCTTCCTCGTAAGATTAAACGGAGAACGCAGTGCAAAAAAGTATAGCTAAGCTACTGGACTAGCGAGAGATCAGAGACGGAATGCATTGCATAGGCAAGCTCTCCCTAGGTCTCCCAACCATGCGACCCTCAGTGATCGGTGGCATACGAGCTATCGATTTCTTATTTCATTAGATCCCACCTTGTGTCGAAGTATTTACCAGAAATAATGGGCGAGAAGGACCCTTCGGATTTCTCCCTTGAGGAGTCATGCCGTTTGATCGAATGATGTTCGATCGAATAGAACCGACATTTCTAGTTATAATCCTAAGCGACCTGTATTTCGATCCTTGCACCTCGAGGAGTGCAAGGTCGACTAAGATCTCATTCGAATCGACAAATTCTATTAAACCAAACATCGAATTTTACATGGTTAGAACCCTAGGGTTCACTTATCTACGGAATTAAGAATCTAGCCAACGATGGGGAGGGGTTCCTAGGTGTTTATTGATTGAAACGAAGATCCTAGAAGCACACAGGAAACTGCGCCACCAGTAGAGAAACAGGGCTAAGGCTGCCATTTTTTGCTCCGATTTTCCCTCAGAGGTTGGTATCGTTCTAAGTCGGGAGGGTTGCTCTGTCGACAGAGTAACAACCTTTCCTTGACCTCTCGTCTCCTCCCCCCTCGAGTTCTATCTCTAGGGACCTATTTATAGGCCTTTGATTAGACTTTCTAAAGAAAAAATATCATAGTCCAGCGTTATCCAGCCAATCAGAAGGCTCTACACACGTGATCAATTAATCAGAAGGCTTCAAGGTGACTTTATGGAAAAGTAGTTGAGCTATGTAAAATGGAGGCTGAAGCGCCATTTCACATCATGCGTCGCAGTTTTGAGCTTCGTTCTTTAAGCTTGTCCTCTCTTCGAATTCCAGCTCCAACAATTGAATCTCGATGTCCCCTACGACATCCAAGTGGTCTACTAGTAATCCACCTATCAAGGCATGTAGGAGTAATCCACCTATCCAGGCATCCACTATTGGAAACATCTAAGGGGAAGAGTATGATGACCCCCCTGCACCTCTTAGTCGAAGTTCAGCAAAACCCTTAGAACCGGACATTGAACAAGAGATCATGGGGGAGAAGTCAAACAAGGATGACCAACCTCAAATGGAGCATGAAGGTGAGGAGCCACTAGTGGAGCAAGCATCTCAATCTATACATTCAAAGGAGGAGTTATAAGAGGAGTCAACTATAAGAAATGTTGATGATCAGGCCAACCTGGTGTCCAACTTAGGAAAGGAGCAATATACCTCCTACCATCCAAGAGATCGCGGAGGAGTCCATCATTGAAGAAGAAACATCTGGCTCAGTGGAGGAAACTTCAAGCCACACTCATATTGAGTTCAACTCGAGTTGGGAGGAAGTAATTGATGAAGAATGCAGCTTCGATCTTGGAGAAGAAGAAACCTCTACATCATCCTCTACAAAAATGGAAGATGAATAGGGAGTAGCAATTCCACCTACTCTAAGAAATGATGCTCTATGCATAGAAGAACCAAGTCTTGAAGTGGATGGACCCCTTTAAGATCCATTTACATCCTCTTCTCAAGAATCTACACAACACTTGGAAAACATGAAATTTGATCAAGAGGAAGTAAGGGTCAAACAGAAAGAGTTCACCATTTATAAGGGCACTCTTAGTGAAAAATATGGAGGATGACATTCCTAAAGTTGAAGACCATGAAGAAAACTTAAAAATCCTGGTGGAGATGCATCATGGATTCAAACCCAACCTTTTTGGACTCCTTGATGAAGATCCATTTGCAACATTTCTGGAGAACCATGAGACCGTAGCATCTTATCTAACCCAAATGGGGGAATACATGAGTCACTCCTTGTATTGTTACCTCTACCACATACCTAATAGTCACACATCAAAGTGTGGGATAAAAGATGCAAGGTGGAGACGAATGGGGTTTCTACTTCATTGTCCACTGATAACACCTAACTTGGTGTTATTTACCCTTCATATTAGGTTTATTTCATGTCAATTCATGTGCATAATCGTTTGAATAGCATCCATTGCATCTTTATTTCATTCCTATTTGATTATGATGTGATTTCAGGGTGCTTTAGACAATACACATGAATTAGGTACGATGATACTGACAACTGTCATTGAAGAAAAAGAGAAGACATAGACAACAACAATGACAACTGTATAGATAATATGGTGAATTCAATATACATTTTCACTCAAACTTTAGAATCACACACACCCGTAATGTTTTCACGCTTGCTAACATATTTTCATTCTTCTCCTCAATTCATGACAACATAGATTTTCCCCTCTAACTTCACCACAAGTAACTGATGACACTACTGATGGTGAATTAGTGAATATTGAAGATGCTTTTCGTCGCACCAATTACAAAGTTTGCCAAAAGAAAACTTGGAGGTTTGAATGATTGCAATGCATAGTGTTTTTAATCTTCACACTATCCACATTTCAAGAACACATATTATTGTTTTCGCACTTCCCCTTCTATTCATTAGATTTCCTCTATGCTCCCCACCAGAAATAATGAAATTTCTGGCAACCAAACTCAAACAATTTATCTCGGAATGATTTGAAAGGGTCGTCCGACCAACGGATCAGGTATAAGACAACCAAACTCAAATCATTTGTCTCAAAATAATTCGAAAGAGTCATCTGACCAACGTGTCAGGTATAAGCTAGTTAATATAATAATCAAATAAAATACATCCGACATATGGGCCCAACACAAATCTATGCTCAAGTTAGGGTGCATAACGAAATCTGGACATTACTTTTTTAGTGGATCCAGAAAATTCAGATCTAAGAATGGGGAATTTAAAGCATTTTATTCATAAAAAAAAATTAAAGACATTTTATTCTCTCTAGTTTTCTTAATCGACTCTTATCTTTTTTGTTCCAACTCGGATTTCAATTTTTTATACAGATGGAACGAGTTCGTTGTGCTCTACAAAATGATATCCATTTACAATATTTTTGAGAAAAAAATTTCATATCTCTCGTTATCAACTCCATACCATATGATATCTACTTTGTTTTGAAGTCGTTTTTGAAAATTTTTGCATAGAAGGAACGAGTTCATCATGATCTATTGGATCTACTAATTTCTAGGTGAAAAAAATACCACACAATAGTACCATCCTGGTAGGGGGGTGGTATCTTGTGGTACACAATTTTGAAAGTCGTAAATAACAGTTAGTATACACCTAATATCATGTATTCAACAATCCTATTGTCTTGGAACATGGTACGCTTTTTATACCATATGATATGCTCTTATTTTAATACCAATCAATATCACCATTGGTATAGACCGGTAAAAAATGTCTCGGTTTTTATATTCCAAAAATATATCAAGGTGAATATCATTTTGAAAAACACAATTAATCTGATTTATCTGTGAAAAAAATTGTGAAAAAAATTAAATTCCAACTTCAAACGAACGGCTGTTAAAAATTAAAGTGGAAAAGATGAAAAACTTTTCATGATATAAACGGCTCCGTTAAAGATTAACGGAAAAAAAAAAAAAAAATTTCCATAACATAAATGGGTTATGTATGGATCCACTCCCCAAATCTAGTATACAAATATTCTCAAGTCCAGTTTTGCCACAGCCAGTAAAATAAGACAAAATCTAGAAGACCATTCTGATTTCATAAACAGAAACCCTTACATATATACATGGACAAGGAATGAACAATAAATAACTATACTCGACATATAATGAAGTTTTGCTTTGGCAAAAATTGGGGTAACGCCACAACATTCCACTCACCATAAATAGATTTTCTTTTTCCCAAACGAATTTAAGGAAATCAAAAGATGAACCCAAAGGAAACAAAACTCAGGACAAACATGTTTTTGTTACAGATACACTAGCTTCTTTGTTGTTTCGGTAATTCTCGGTTGGTTGGATCTGTTTATAGATTGGCAGTGTCTTCCAGGGAGGACTCAGATGCAGAGTCATCCAATGTCGAGTTCGAGACGGTCTCGCTGTCAGAAGTTCCCGCTGCTGGTTTCTCCTCTGAAGGTTGCTTTAAGTGCCAATACATGATGCTTGCCGTCAACGTTAGGATCATCTTTTGATTCACCTGACCCAACATTAAGCACAGAATACACTCTCAGCTATTATTGTGACTAGTAAAGAAGGGTTCGATTGTAGATGTATTGTCGAACAAGGAGACGTTACCTCTGTCAAGTCCTCGGGAAGTAGGAATATTGAACATCCTAGCTTTCTTGCTATGCTGATGATGTATGTGGCGTTCATCTTCTTCTCTTCATCTGGCATTGGAATGGCGTCCAGGTTAGTGTACACAGTGACATTTTATAGAACTGATTCATGGCATGAGGGAAGCTGCTCATTTCATCTGATGTAAGTACCTGTTATGCCTTTAGTCACGAGACTCCAATTTACTGCTCTAGGCTGAACGGCGCTAAGCAGCTCAAGGAAGAAAATGCCATCTGACAAGCTTTTGTCCTGTAAAATGGTTGAAGTAGGATGAAGTTCATTAACAATAACATGATGCCTTTGAGTTAGTTGTTCGTTTCCCTGACTTTTAATGACATGGTTGGTCACGCACCTTAAAGCTATTCATACGAGCTTGACCTCCCGAGCTGCTGACTCGGCCATTCGCCCATTGTAAGATGTCTGCGTCAT